TACAATATAGACACGCTAGCTAAGATGCTACAGACGTAGCTACATTTCTCTCACACATTCAATATTTTGGTTTGAAAACTGAGTTTCTTTACAAAATCCCAATGACGGTTTTTGAATTTTTCAGGGGGGCAGAGTTAAAATGTAGGGGTGCTTGAGCACCCCCCAAAAAGGCTAAAATCGCCACTGGGAGAATCCAGTGTTAACAAGCTTGATTCACAAGTTTGACCTTTGTTTGACCTTAGTTTGACCTTCGTTAGGCCAGCTGTGGTCTGTGTGGGTAAACACATATGATCAAACTGGAACATCAAACGGCTTTTCAGTCACTTTGGCTGTTTTTGTAGGTCTTACCAGCGATAACCACGGGGATCAGCAGGAGGCGCAGGATCTGAATTAAGGACAGAGTTCGTAGCCTCACCGTCCTGCCGCCATATTTAATCTGGAAACAAAAAGGCGGAGCTATTTTAAGAGGGTTTTTTTAGGCAATCAGAGTGAATAAAATAAAAAAGATGACCTTTAACTCCTTAAAGGCAGTGCTGTGTATTCCTGTGATGTCGCAGATGAAAGCTTCGTCTTCGTCGCTGCTTTCTCGCTCTTTTAAGACGCAGGGACGTTCTTCTTCCTGGACGCCCCAAACCGACAGCTCCGACATTTTCATCTCCAGGTTATCCACCGTTTTCTGAAGGAGCAGAAACGCAATATTCACCTTTTCTGACCGGAGCTCACACGTTTGTAAGAAGTAACAGTCTTACCTGCAGAACGACGCGGACGTTGTTTCCTACCCTCACCGCGGTGAAGCCGGTAAACTGCGGGTCTGGAGAGTAGGTGAATTTTGTGGAGCAGGTCAGCGTCTGATTGGCTACTTTAAAGAATACGAAGGAGCTCTGAGCGTTTTCAGCTGCAGGTGTTTCGTAGACGAGGGTCTGCAGGAAAGTGAAACACATTCTGTGTTGAAAGTCGGAATCCGTGGAGTTTAACGTGACTCCAACTTCGGCTCAAATTTAACGTGCAGATTTCATCCACACGGGTATATTTTTTACTTTAAATGTCTGAACTATCCCTTTAAACCAGTGGGGTGTTGCTTCTGTCCAAACCTCTAGAAAACGTAAGTTTCTATCAAAAATATTGTTGCATTTTCCTCCGCCCACTTGTATTTTCTTAAATTACAGCCAGTTTTGGTGTCCATCCCCACAGCATGATGAGGCCACCGCCGTGCTTCACTGCAGGGATGTTCTCAGCAGGAAACATGGCGTTGTCCTCGTTAGTAACACTGCTGCCGCCCACTGTATGTAACGAGACACTCATCTACCTGAGAGCTGCTGTTCCTGGGGAGGATGACTTGCTGTGGGGCGTGGCCGTGCGACACCCCTTCCACCGAATCCAGGTGGGTCCCAACGATTGTGACCGTCCTTTTCCCACTGTAGGACACCAAGCAGACGTCAGAGCAGAGAAATATGTGTCCAAAAGGAATGATTCCCTTCGTTTGGCATCCAAATGTAAACATTTTGTTCTTAGACCTTTACCTCCAGTGGTCACAAGCGATACGCTCGACTGTCGCTGAAAGATTTGAGTAGTGAATGTTTGTAGTTTTCAAGATGAGTGGTTTTCTGGACTTTAATTGAACAGGGAAGAACAGAGGTTGTTTTTTTTTTTTTCTTTGAAGCCGCGCAAAGTGACAAATCCTGACGAGTGGAAGAGGCAATTTGATCCACCACCTGGTTCAGTGGTGGAGCCACGGGGGAGCCAATGGTGGCCTCAACCACCACAAGTTAATCCTCAGCCACCCCAATTATTAGACAAAGCTATACTTTTATAAAAACTAAAAAGCTTAGTTAACTCAAATTATATGGGTGGCCAATTTACAACTTTATGGCAGTGGCCATCTTGGATTGTAGCCTGTATAAATAAAGGTTGAATGAAAAAATACATATATACATGTTTTTTGGGGTTTTTTTTACCAAAAAAATGCCTTAAATATACGAAAATAAAATAATGAGAAATTTTTGAGAACAGACCTTTGATCAGTCAATCAAAGAAGAGTTTTAGCATCAAAACTATAAAAAGGACGTGAATTTTTTTCAAAACAATAAAATATTATTCTGACAAATTTTAAATAATTTACTTTATTAAAGGTTAAACAAAAGTTTATTTTACTCTAAATTAGCCTTCATAACAAATGTTTTATTTTATACTTCAGTTCATACTAAATAAAACTTTCAGTTACAGTCCTAACCCCGGTTCTCTGAGCAGCATGAACGCACTCAGGATGACCTCATCAGAAGCTCCTTTTACATTACAGGTAAAACGTGCAGGATGGTGTTCCTCGAGGACCAGGGATGGGAAGCACTGGACTAAGGCAATCACTGTAATCCAGTGGGAAACCTGCTGTTCTGTTACCGGCTTCCTGAAAATGATTCTCAGCCAGGAGACAACCAGTCGGTCAGTCTTCCTGACATGTTTTGTCCTGTCCAAGCAGATGCTCAAAGTGTGATAGGTTGAATATTCGATTTCATAACATTAAAAACATTTAGAATAAATATAGATTCATAAATTCAAAGCAGTCTGCTCCTCAGATAAAGTCTTAATTTATTATTTTAATATATGTGAACTTATTTTTTACATATGAATGTTTCTGTTCAGTGCCCTGAAATGACTTCTGTTGTGCCTTTGCGCTATATAAATAAACTGAATTAAAATTTAAAAAAAAAATCCATAAAAGCCTATAAACAAGTTAAAATTGTTAAAAACTTATTTTTAATTTTGCATTAATGTTTGTATTTTATTTAAGGAAATTGCAATGATCTCTTTCTGGGATTGACCTGTAGTACCACCTCCACCACTAGGGGCGCTGTCGCCTCATTCCATTAAACTGCTGCGAGGAAGCGACTTAAAATAGTCACACGTGATTCTTATTTACAGGTAATGCTGATTGAAATGTTATATATTTGTATGCTGTATATTAAGACATTTTAGAGACAATCATTTATTATTTTGTAAACTTGAGAAGCATTTTTTAGTTTTATGAGTAACAGCACTTCTGTGTGGTTTAATGGCTGTTAAGCTAATGGCAGAAGCTAAAAAGTTGTGCTAACTTTTTTTTTTTTTTTGTGAGGAAACATTATAACGCAGATATTTAGCTATATTTTCTTATTTTGGTCTATTAATTAGCTTTAATGGGTAATCATTTATTATTTTTATGAACTTTATAAGTGTTTTTCTTGTTTAATGAGTTTTTAGAGACGTTTCTGTGCGTCAGTTGTGTATTAATGGCGGTTAAGCTAATGCAAAAAAAAAAAAAAACTAGCAACTTGTCTTATTTGATGAGTTTACAGAAATATGTGAAAACACTGATATTTGACAGTTTATTATTATTTAAGGATTCAAGGTTATTTTTTTTTTATCATACACACCACATGTGGTACATGAGGTGGAACAAAGTTGTGTACACAGGGTCCCACTTCCATCCCAAAAAAGTATAAAATGTAAAAGAGCAACAGTAATAAGATCTAACATATGAACTAAGAAAAATGTTGATTAAAAATTCACCAGTGGTATAAAAACAGTATGTCGAACAGCAGCAACATGGAACAGATCAGCAGCAGCATGAAACAGATCAGCAGCAGCATATGATTCTTCACAGTGATTATTCTGGTTAGAGATTCATGAGTCTAACAGCCTCAGGGTAGAAGCTGTTCCTCAGTCTAGTGGTTCTACACTTAATGCTCCTCAACCTCCTTCCTGAAGGGAGCTGGTAAAAAGTGTGTGTGCTGGGTGAGTGTGGTCCTTCATGATGCAGGTGGCTCTCTTCCTGCATCTGGAGGTGTAGATGTCTGTGATGGTGGGGAGACTGACTCCAACATCTTCTGTGCAGCCTTCACCACTTTCTGCAGAGCTTTTCTTTCTGCAGCTGTGCAGCCTCCGTGCCACACGTTGACGCTGGAGCACAGGATGCTCTCCACTGCACACCTGTAGAAGGAGGTGAGGACTGAGCTTCCAGACCAGCTCGCCTCATCCGTCTGAGGAAGTAGTCTCTGCTGTGATTTATTTAGCTTTAGCTTTATTAATTAGTTTTTCTCCACTTTATAACATTGAGCGACATATATTACTTTTATATTGATTCCATTAAACTGCTGAGAGAGGAAGCAACTTAAAATCAATCATGATTTTTTTCTCCCCTATTTACAGGGGTGTAACACAAGCACGTACTGGGCAGAGATTGTGTAATCTCCCCTGCTCCTTGGAGGAGAAAGGAGTGGGATTAAAAACCATGAACTCGGTTGGAGAGTAGGATCCAAACCTTAGGCTCAAAAGCAGCGTATGGGAGCAAAAGTCACCGTAGTCTTGTCTAGAGAGAACTTTTGTGCCAGATGGGTGTACTGATAAAGTGTGAAGTTCAAGTATCTGGGCGTGTTGTCGCTGAGTGATGGTAGAACGGAGCAGGAGGTGGACTGACGGATCAAGGCCTCATTCTCAGTCGATGTGGTGAAGAAAGAGTTGAGTCAAAAGGCAACACTCTGGATTTACTCAGTAACCCTAACCTCAGGTCGGACACTAGATGTCGCTCTTCCTCCAGTTTTACCACAGTCTGAGATTTGTTGCTTCTGCCTGCAGGAGAGGCTGTTTGTTTTCCAGCAACAACCACAAACACTTCTTGACCACATTTATCTCCATGGTTGCTGGTTTGTTTTTGATTTTAAGTTCCTTTTTGGCACGTGCACAAATGTCAGACGGGTTAGCGGGTGTTCCTGTGGGAGCGCACAGTAAAGTGCAGGTTGTGAGTTTTTGAAATTTAGCAGCTGAATGAAGCCTGAAGATTTAGAGATGTCTCAGCAGAGATCAGATGTTCTGAACATGTCTGCAGCTTCCGGTGTCGCTGGGTGTTTTCCTCCCTCCCACTTTCTGCGCTTCTGCTTTTCACCAAAGTGCCTTTACGCACAGAGAGAAGAGTCCTCCCGGGTCTGACTGGGTCCAGGTCTGACTGAGTCCAAGTCTGATGTTGAAGGATGATCCTGCTGCTCGGTCTGCTCTGGTCCTTCTGGACAGAACCAGTCCTGTGTCTGCAGGAGGACGGAGGTTTGAGCCTGGATGGAGACATCCGTCACTTCGCAGTGACCAACGACTCTCTCTACATCTCCACAGAGGAGAAGCTGTACCAGCTGAGCCACGACCTGGTTCCAGTCTGGACTCTGACCCAGAGAGGGGTTCTGATGGACAGTGACCAGCCGGACCAGCAGGACTTTCAGCGGGTCTCTGAGGGGAAGTCAACTTTCATCGTCAACTTGTTGCTTCCATTTGTCAGGGACAAATCAGTGATCAGCTGCGGAGTGATTGATGATGAGTGTGGTTTCTGTGAGCTTCTGGACCTGAAGAACATCTCTAAGCTTCTGTATAAAGAAGCCATCCAGGTGGGACCCCTGAGGCGCAGCAGCGCATCTGTTGGCTTCCTGGTGGACGTGGAGAAACCTCCTAAGACTTTTATCCTGACTGCGATCCAGCAAGACAGCGAGGACACCAAGGAGTCTGGTTCTGATAACAAGATGATAAACCTCCATGATGCAGATAAAGCAACGTACGGAGGAATATTTTCTAGATCTGATCCATCAGGAACCACACCTGGGATCAAG